GGCTTCATGTTTCGCTATGGAAACAGATAGAGATTATCCGTATTGATTATTAATACGTATATGCTGTCGATTTTCTCTGGTGGGTTCGGTAAGTTTGTCTTGACGTTGACATGTTTTAGTTTTCGGTTTGATTTTTTGATTTACAACGAAATACAATATTCCCATTTCAGTAATTGCGTCAAGTTTATTCATCACAGGGCAATACATCCTTCGCTTGAGCTTAATGTTTACAAGAATTAGGAACTTGGGGTTCCATAAATGAAAATCAAATACTGGAAGAGCATGAATGTTTGAAATATGATCGAACCTATAATATGACAAATGAGTGGCATTCCGTGAATAAACCACAACCGTTGTAACCAGTAGATAACCACTGTCAAAATTGTTGGTACCGGCCCTGAAAGCATCGGTAACCACGGTTGAAATACGGAACATATCCAAGATCTCGCTTTATTCCTCGGGGCATTTTTTGATATCCTTCCTGTAGGTTTCAATGAATCACTCAAGGATATACATCCAGTCTGTCATTGAGATTCTTTTCTCTTCAACTCCATAAAATGGAGGAACATTAAATAGTTACCTGAATACAAATACGTCAACGTGGATGTTGTATTTCAACAAGATGGAGCACCACCACATTAATCCAGACAAGTTGAAAACTTTTGGATAATACTTTCCCTGGTCGTTGGATTGGCCGTCGAGGTCCTACGAAATGACCAGCCTCTTCGCCAGATTTGACACCTTCAGACCTTTTTGGGGCTACTTGAAGCAAAATTTGTACAAAACTGCATCAGCTTCAATATTGTATATACGACAGAGAATTATGAAAATTTTTAGAAATATTGACGAAACTGTGTTCGAAAGTTTTTTGTTTCAATTCCGCTCATAGCTTTGTTACAAATCTTCTCGCCTACAGCTCAACACTTCTGATAAACAATGTCATACGCGAAATTAGTAGTTGTGATAATCGCCAAATAGTATTACATTTATAACCACTGACACTATACTATCTAGATCGCTATATGTCATATCTCACCAACTCGAAATTGTCGGTTTTGATGATGCATCACCTCATTATGTTCTTGCTGTACCGCATTTTGTAGATGATTTTCCAAGGTCATTGGATTGGAAGAAGAGGCCCATCGCATGGCCACCAAAATCACCTGATTTGAAAGTTCTAATGGGGTAATTTAAAATCGCGAGTATATGCCACACAACCTGAAATACTAGCCGTGCTACACGTGAGTGAGAATTATGGAAGAAAACCGATTAATAACACCAGATTACTTCAGTTGTGTTCGAAGATAATTTGAAGAAAGTCATTGTTTGCAAGTTGATGGAGGTCGTTCTTTGGAGCTATTGTATTGATCCACACAAAAAAAGAGAGATGTGGATATGTAGTAAATGAAGATCTTCCTGTTGATGGGCAATCTTGGTTAGAAATTGTAACGAGAATGTCGGTATTGATTTTATTTCAACCGATTTCCTAAAACGATGCACCAGAGTATTCGCAATAAAGAGGCTTTGAAATTATGTGTTGGAAGTATAGGATACTTCAATTAGAAAAATCAAAGTTGCGGTTGCTAGGGCTAAGGGGACAGAACTCATGAAGTTGGATCGACTCTAAAAAATGCTTTCTCCAAGTATAAAAACAGACGTGTCCTGTTGATTCGGTTATTATCTATTTATAGGAGGGGGATTCAAGTTTTTGTTGAGAGACCCTGTATATGATTGATACTTATGAGAGAGCTGTAGAATCTCGTTGGAATTACCACGATAGAGAAATTATATTTAAGCACTAATGATTCCGGTGGAATATTAATTGGCGTAGCGTAATGTAACTGTGTGAGTGACATCAATGGGGATCCTCACAGCTTGATTGAAACATATACTGGAGCATATTAAATTATCCTTCCAATTACAATCACTTTATTAATTAATCCGGCGTACCCGTTCGATATTGATGATGGAATAAAGTGTTAATAATAACGAATATAGCGCGCGCTCAAAGATGGGCGAGCTTTGAATGGTTTCAATTCACTGAGTGTTGCTAATCTCATTTCAGATTGAAAAAGTTCGTTCCTAAGAGGATTACTGTAAGTGTATAGGGTGATAAGAGTTCATAAGATCGAATTCACAAGTAATATACTTTCGACTCGTTTAATAATACAAGTTCTCGCAGCAATAAACTGTATGATTTTTGTTAATATATACCGACGGTGATACTATTTCGCAGAAAATATTTGGTGAGAAATTCAAATGAAACCCTGTACATGGGATTTCAATGGAGCAGCAAAGGCCAATCAGTTCTCATCAATTCTGTTGAAGGAACCGTTTTGTTTGTTACCTATGAACTTTTGAATGTACATAATAATTGAGAGCCATGAATATATACAATTTTGATCGAATAATGGTGACATTTTTTTATTCAGAATGCTGTAACTAAAGATCATAGTTATCAGATCAACCTGATGTCTACCTCGTCAAAGAAGTGACGGATATAATTGCTATAGTTGACATGTCGAACAAATTATGTCTTTCTATCAATCCATCTAAATCGAACGCCGTCCTATTTACCAGAAACGAAGACATCCGAAATAGGTGCTTACCTAATACTAACCTTCGAATCATGCAATAATGAGCTTATTCTCTTCACTAATACCGTTAAAAAAACTTGGCTTACTCATGGACAATACGTTCAGATACACTAAGCATGTGAATGTTTCATCAGAAGGGCATTTTGCAATCTCAAACTCATCTACTCCAACTGAGTTTTTCTAGATAAAAAAGTAAAATCATTTCATGCGAAGCCCTAGTCTTGTCTCACTTAAATCACGCAAATGTTGTCTACGGTCCAGCCTTACTCAAATCGGATCTGAAGAGACTACAACTAATACAAAATTCATTGTCCGTCTGATGATGTGGTTTGAGTTAACGGAACAATATTTCAACACCAATGCAAGAACTGGGTTGGCTCAATGTTCAAAAACGCATTTTTCCACATTCATCTATTTTATATCACAAAATAAGTCCAAATTGACATCACCTATGCACAAAACCACTCTCTATCAGTCTTCTGTTTCCTATATGATAACCCGGCTGTATAATAAGGTACCTGATGATCTCACAAAAATTCTATCGGACTTTTCAAGAAAAAAATGAAAGAACTCCTATTGATGGATGATATACATATATAAGAATGCTCTCTATATTTCCACAATTACGAATAATATACTTATCTATGTAGAGTTCATTCTACAATAATGTGATCCGCATTATGAAGATTTTGTTTATATTTGTCGAATACATTATGAAGGTAGATTTCGCAATTATTGTAAATTATTATCACAATCAATGTTCTTCATTTTCAGTTTTCTTTATTGAGCCTTTTTTTTTCTTCTTACATTATTTCAAATACTATATAATTAGTTATTATTTCTTTTGCCTCTCTGGTTGAGTGCAAGAAATTATTAACCCATTTCACACATGGGTAAACGCTAACTCTGCCATTTGATAGTGTGCATCAAAGTTATTTGTAAATTTACTCATTGTACCTGTTATTTATACTTACTATCAATGAAAGCGATTTATCATTATCATTATTATTATAATTAATTCAATTCAATATCCATTGATAACAAATCCTCATCTACAAATACACAGGGTAAATACAGGGTATAGGTATTTATAAAAACCTATTGAATATTGCTCCAACCGAAATGATTCGATACTATCACACTGGTATTCCTATACAGTTTGCTAAATTTTGGCGCAAGACAGCTCTGACGTACTGAGAACTTAGACGTACTGAGAACTCACAAAAAAACGAAATATAGCTGATAACAGTACATTTCTTTTATTTGCTTCGTATATGTACATGGGAATAGTGAATATTCGAAAAAGTCCTCGTTGACATAATATGCGCTGAATATATAAAAAAAAGTTCAGTAAAACCATAGATATTTCGCTTATGTTGCTGGACCTGCTGAAGTTGATTTTGTTTCCAAAGTTGTCTTTGTTAAAAAAATATCAAGTTTAGCAGGTAGAGCAAACACAAACGAACAGGCCTCAAGAGAGATGAGAGTTATAATCTAAATTCATCATGGAGAACCTTTTTCGTAGTGTAGGCATATACGTATTAATAAACAATACGGATCATAACGGGTGCCAGGATGAAGCCAAAAATATGGAACAAATGAATATCCATAAGGATTTGGTGGCATGATACGCATGCGCCATGCGCTATTATAGTAGTCATCAAAGACATGCGTTTCGGTGGACAATGACGTTTACTAGCCTTTCAATCAAAGCAGTATGTGTCTGATTGTTTCAAAACTTTTCCTTATGGATAGTCATTTGTCTTCAAAAATCGGCTTCATGTTTCGCTATGGAAACAGATAGAGATTATCCGTATTGATTATTGATACGTATATGAGTGTAGGATCTGATAAACAATCAGAATTTCAAACTCTCATTTACATCAGTGGAGGTTTTTAAGTGTATTTCCACAAAAAAAAATCAGTACAACGGTCATAAAATTATATATCATGGTATGGGTTTATTGTCTCTCAAATTCATGCAGATTCTTGATCAAATCTCTAGAAAAGTTATGAAGCAATAAATATTGAGAATTGTGAATGCTGAGCCGTGTAGCGCCCAAACTGAGCAACTTTATACTGAGGTCAGTTTGCTCAAATCGAAATGTTTTGGTCTAGGAATAATTGGTAGGTTTTTGCAAATACCCTCTAGAGTCATCCTACCCTGTATAATGTACAATTTCTAAGGCAGTGTGTATGCGATTTTGTCTTTTTCATCTTCTGAAATCGAAAATTCATATCAGTCCTACATAATATTTTTGAATTCTAGTTGATTCAGAACGAGAGAATATCACTTGTGGTATTTCGAGAAGTGAGTCAGTGCTCACACCATCTGTATGAACATCTTGCGCTACGGATCGATTGGACTCCCCAGATCGGTCGGAACCTGTATTACCGACAGTGGCGACATTCCGATTCGGATTTGACAGAATTTTTATGACATTCCCCATTCGCCGTCCAAAACGTAAATAAAGTAATGTGAATTACAATCTAAACACTGTAAACTTATTTTCTGATGAAAATACTTTGCTAAAATGAACGTGCAAGACAAATTCCAGTTGGTGGTGTACGACGGAGACTTCCATCTGCCATCTCTCGACGTAGAATGCCTGAAATCGATACTATACACAACCATCGCCGCAGTGCCAGTGCAAGTCCGCGTTCTCAACAGCGTGAAACAGTGTGCTTTCCACAGTGCCCCGAGTTTTGTTCACAAGAATCTGCAGTTCAGAACGTTCAACGACGCCGTACTTTACCTGAGAACTTTGAATTACAATTTGGACAGCAAGCTGACTGCCAAACAGAGTAGTGAATGTCTAGCTATAACGAATCTGGTTCTGTCGAAACTGAAACCCGTGCTGGAATTCTGTTATTGGCTAGATCAAAGGAACTGCGAGGAGTTTACTAATATTTGGTTTATGAAAGCGCTGCCATTCCCCTTCAATTTCGTGCATACTAGGAGGTTCCGAGAAAGGGCCCTGGATCTGATCGAAACTTTGCATCCTACTGAGACTAATTTGGACTGTATCAAAGAACACTTGCAGATGACCGCCACTGATTGTTTATCGCATTTGTCTACGAGATTGGGCAGCTCTGATTACTTCTACGGAAGTTCACCCACTAGTTTGGATGTTGTTGTGTATTCCTATGTGGCTCCCCTCATGAAGATACCGTTTCCTTCAAATGAATTCGCTGGTGTGCTTTCTATGTGGCCTAATTTGACGAGTTTCGTGAAGAGAATTGATGCCGCGTATTTCCCTAATCTGCCTAGGGGCTCCAAGTACCTGAAGTTGGAAGAAAAGCCCAAAACTAGTGATGACGAAGTATCTTATGTTGCGATATTGATTCTGACTGTTAGTGCTACTTCGCTGGCATTGGGCTTTGCATTTAGTAGAGGATTCATTACATCAAAATTTTTGCGTTGAAATATTCCACATAGTTTTTATCATGTGTTTGTTGAATAGTTCAAATTATATTTGATGAATAAAGACTGTTATAGATTAGGTACTATGTAGATTTCGAAAATTTTTTTGGTGCTTAGGTATTTTCGTCTGAAAAACAGGAACTATTTATCCAGATATTTTTTGAAAAAGTGCACTTTCTTTTGCAACCCATCTAGGATATTCATTTACAAGTTTACACCTACTTGTTCTTCTTTTTCCATCACTGGACATTTATTTATATACTCACGTTGTACTTCAATAACACAATTTTTTTCCTAAAATCAACAAGAAGTATGGTTTATTTGGAATATTTTCATATTTAGTAGGTAAGGTAAACAATACTTTGGTTTCTCGAGTTTCTTGCAAATTTTTTTTAACATTTGACATCTCGTATTTGTATTTTGAGTTCTGTGATTTGTAATTAAATTCGATAATTGAATGGCGTGATTGTTTTCCTCACTAAAATATGAAAAAATCCTGAATAAATCATATTTTTAGTTGATTTTAGGAACTAAAATGTGTTATTGAAGTACAACGTGAGTATATACAGTGTGTCCACCTTAAGGACTTACCACCCCTGTAAAATTGTTATTACCTGACCGATTTCAAAAAACTTTTTTTTGTTGGATAGGTATTTGAAATATCCATCCAACAAGAGAGTGATTATACTCATGAACTGTAATCGTGGCCAACTGCGACCAACTTTATTGACCCATATTTGAGAAAGTACTATTAGGGATTTTTTTTCACAAAAAACAATGATGGATTCTGAATCACGATCACTTGAAAAACACCTTTGCTGATTTTTATCATCATAAAACACAGGGTGTCCGAAAAAACGAATTATGTTTTCTTTTAATAGGTGATCAGAAAATGTAGTATTGTGGTAAGAATTGATGACACATTATTATCGAGGAGCACTTTGAACATATCTGTACCGATTTTCATCATCCAAAAATACGATGTGTATGAGAAAACAATTAAAAAGAAAAAGTAGGCAATATTTTTTCATCAACTCAAAGAAAATATTAATTTGATTTTTCGAACACCCTATATTTAATGATGATGGAAATCGGTACAGGTATGTTCCAAGTGATCCTGATTCATCTTTTTATTTTGAGTGAAGAATTATCAGGATGAAAAATATTGCTTACCTATCCTTTTTAATTTTTTTCTCAGACACATTGTATATTCAAATGACGAAAATTGGTACAGGTATATTTGAAATAATCCTCGATGATAATTTGTGATTATTTCTTTCTAGAAAAACCACAGAACTACATTTGCTGATCACCTATTTGAAGAAAATGATGATTCGTTTTTTCGGACACCCTGATGTGTTGTATGATGATGAAAATTGGTACAGGTATATTTCAAGTGGTACTGATTCAGAATCCATCATCAAGTTTCGTGGAAAAAAATCCCTAATAGTACTTTCTGGAATATGGGTCATTGAAATTTGTCGCAGTTGGCCACGATAACAGTCCAAGAATTAGATCACTCTCTTGTTGGATGGGCATTTCAAATACCTATCCAACAAAAAAAGGTTTTTTGAAATTGGTCGGATAATAACGATTTTACAGGGGTGGTAAGTCCTTAAGGTGGACACACTGTATAAAGTGTCCAATGATGGAAAAAAAGGACAAATAGTCGTAAATGGATATCCAAGATGAGTGGCAAAACATGGTGAAATTTACGGAAATTTCGCATTTTTTCGTTAAATATCTCAATAGATAGGTATTAGTTTGTTCACATTTTCATTGAGAAATTCCTGTTTTTCAGATGAAAATCGGTAAGTACCAATGATAAGTACACTTTTACCTATACTTTTTCCCAACATTCAGGAACTATGACAATAATTTCGTGATTATTCGAGATCTCATATCGTGACGTCATCATGCCTGCCTGTTTCCTCAATAATTTTGTTCGAATGGGTCGGCAGAGATACGTCAGTATACAGTAAATTCTCGAGTAAATTAATAAGGTTCCTGATAAGATAACCTGTTCAGTCCATCAATCTGATTATTACGTATTTATACAGGGGATTCCCATATGTCTATGAAACAATAAAAGAAGCCCATCCTCACTTCATTTTCAGACGAAAATGTAAAATAGTTTTTTTTCAAGAATGACGCTTAGTACATGGTGTTCGAATTTTGGTTAGTTTTTTTTTTCAAACAGCCTGTGTTTCGGAAGCGAAGCGCCATCAAAAAACTGATATAGCTTATTTCGGCCTCGAAACAGGGTCTATGTCGCAAGCGATTCAAAAGAAATTTTTTCGTGGTTTTTTAATGGCTTTTTGGTGGTCCGAGGAGTACTCGATGGACATGCAATAAAGTTATTGTGATTGTAATTTTTCATCTCGAAAATAGGCCAAAATACGGATTCGTCTTGAGAGATGGAAGAAGTTATTACCCACATTACTTGCTGAATCCGAAAAAAATATTGAAATCTCAGAAAAAATCCATGGCGTATATTATTTTTTTGTCAATGATATTGAATCTTGGTTAAGGTGCTCCTCTGGACGCCACTGAAATTCATAATTTTTGTTTGGTAATGGCTGAATAGTGAATAAGAACTGAAGAGCTTCTTATAACCTCAATAACGTCATCGAATTTCAACGGAATTGGATGAAGCATTTCTGAAATAGTGCAAAATCGATTTGAAAACAAAATTCGAACACCTTGTACATATTCTGAAAACTGGGCGACATTCGGAAAATATTCAACTATTCTACATATATTTTCGCCCTGAAATTAAGCGTGGATTCGTTCCTTTCCGAGTTCCTTTCATTTTGTCAGAGACGTGGTCAGAGAATTGATCGAAAAAAAATCAAGAATATTTCTAAACCCAAACGACATGTAAATAAATAGCTATAAAGCTATACCACATTTCATCTGTAAATATATCGTCATAAAAATACAATAACCTCCTGCGCAAACCACATTGATATTGATAGATTTACCATATTTCTTCTAGAAAAATGACTCCATAGCTATAGACAATGTCCTAACTTTTTCGATCAGTTTATATGAGATAACCTCTGAAAAAACGAATCGGATTCAGATGAATATTTTCCTACACCTGAATAATTATATTCTTATGCAATAAGAATTACGAGCGTATGAAATTTAACTTATTGACCTGGTGTCATTTTGTTCTTGGTTGTTATTGAGCACTTTATTTTAGGTATATATTCTGATTACCAGTTGATGTCGAGTTGATGTTATACTGATGTTTCTTTACGTCAGTAGGTGACCGATGTGACGTCATCCCAGACAGCACCAGATATTCCATGAATCTCCCTATCATATTCCTTTTGGAATATTGGAATATTCTAGAAATAATCTGGAATATTCCGGAATATCTGTGGAATATTCTCTAAATATGCGAATGGGAATTCCTCAGATAATCATGGAATATACCCAAAAGAATATTCTATGTTGAATGTTCCTGGAATATACCAATAAACATATTCTGAAATTAAAAAAGTGACCCAAGTAGGGATCGAACTCGTGACCTCAAGACTATCAGACCAACGCCTTGACCACTAGGCCAGTAATCGAATTGAATAATGTTATACATATCAAGTTCTTGGAGAGCATTGTTCGAAAACGGATCATAAACACTTTTTGTTTCAAAATCCCCTTACATCTAATTGATGTTCGATACTCATATCTCTGAAATAGTAAATGGTATTTATGTGTTGAGGAACAAAGGAATATTCATGGAATATTTCATGAATATTCACCACCGAATATTCAGTTGAGAATATTTCATGAATATACCGCACAGAATATTCAGCTGGGTATATTTCATGAATATACCGCACAGAATATTCAGTTGGGTATATTTCATGAATATACAACAGAGAATATTCAGTTGGGAATATTCCTGGAAGATTCATACCTGAATATTCCCTGAACATGTCCGACTATTCACTTTGGAATATTCCTTTTAGATGTTCCAGTTGCATGTATATATTCTAGGAATAATCGATGAATATTCGGAATATACTCCTCCTTTTTAGCATATTTAGAGAATATTCTATGAATATCCAGTGCTGTCTGGGCATATGACGTGGAAAATTGATCAAAATTGATAAAAAAGATCGAATGAAATTACTAATCAGATACCTACTGTGATCATATTTTATTTCAATTCCAACTATAACGTAAATTTTTTCCTTCTTGGGGGACGAAGCATGAAATTACACTGGAAATTTTTTGACGTTTATAGGCTCATTCCATAAGTTAATAAATAAAAATCATTTATCGACAGTTTACCACTCGGTTTACCATATAATATTATGTAGGTATACTTGCGAATTCGAAATTCAGAAAAACACATGTTGTTACTATATACGTTAGTTCTTACATTTCATCATAAACGGCCATGATTTTCATTTTCGTCTTTTTTCTTCAATGGAGAATATAAAAGCGAACATTCACTATAGAACGTATAAAATGTTCATGTTTCATGAAATATATTATGTAGTACTTTGAAGAAATCTTACTCTGCTGTAATCTACGAAACATTTTGAGTTAACATACCAAGCCTACTATGTCAAAACCATCAAAAATCGTCATTATCCAAATTAATAATATTTCAGTGTGAAATTTTTTTACCGAATACCACTTTAGCTTCAATCAGTTCCAGGAATTTTTTCTTGAACACGAATATTCAGAGAATTCTTCCTCGTCTTCGCCTCGGGAAAATATTCAAAATTTTCGTGTTTTCGAAAAAAATTCCGAATATAATTGAAGCTGTCGTGATATTATAAGTGAAAATTCGCGAATTCTAGAAAGTGGCGGGGAAGACCACTGATTTTTTAAAACGACATTATCGTGAACTATATACTGAAAAACTACCAGTGAATTAATTTTGAACTTTTTCATTCATGCTAAGACGATGAAAAAAATAAATTAGTATATGTCCATTTCAAAACACACAATTCCTGCGCCATTTGAAATTTCATCAATTCATTGGTGTGACTGGTGCGACGTCTTAGTCCCAACACGTTTATTGTCCTTGAACT